GAGGATGTTCAAAGAAGGGCGACCAAGCTACTGGCATCACTTAGCAATCTAGATTACCCGGCTCGGCTAGCCGCTCTGCACCTACCAAGTCTCGAACACAGAAGAAAAAGAGGCGATCTCATAGACTGTTACAAATACGTCCACGGAGTGTACAACACCGCATCACTCTTCAAGCTGTCCACCAGTGACAGAACCAGAGGCCATAGTTTGAAACTTGTTAAAGAGCAGTGCAAGTCGCCAGGTACGCTTGAATTTCTTCTCCCTCAGAGTGGTGAACGTGTGGAATAGCCTTCCTGAGCTGGTGGTTAATGCCCCCAGTGTCAACTCATTCACGTCTCGCCTGGACGCTCACTGGTCTAACCTAGCCACCAAGTACGACCCGGACTGCTATCCCTAAACGGAGCCCACCACGCACGTTGCTTAATACGACGTATCACCATGCTTGGTAAACAGGCCTCTAATAAGGCCTTCAACACCTCAACCCGTCAAAGTCAAATATGCGGCCGGACTTGCGGTCGGTCTCCCCAAATTCAGTGAGCATGGAATATCTCCCAAAGTAATGAACGTAGCTCGATGAAACTTGGTACACGTATTCATTAGGACCTAACGGTGATGTTTAAGTTTCATCGAGATACGTTTATGAGTTTGGAAGATTAGCCATGCTCACTGAATTTGGACACCGGCCGCGCGAGTCCGGCCGCGAGACCGGCCGCAAGTTAAGCCGTAAATTTGTCCGAGACGTTCCGGACGAACTGAAGATGGAGCTGGCCTCCGAAACATTTTCTATAAAGATATGAATTTTTGTGGACTTTTCTTTGCTTTTAAATTCTTAGTTAATTTGCGATTTAAGCAAACAAGGGGTTTATACGTTTTAATTGAAAACGGAATAATGTAAAAAATCTCTAAAAATTCCTACCGCAGCGCATCAATAATAAATACTTATATTCCAAAATTCAAACAAACCCGTTCAGTATTGAATGAGTTATGAATGATTAGGTTGAGATTGTAGTAGGGGTTAGTAGAGTGTAGTTTTGCGTTCGACTGTTCAAGTGAGTTCGTAGAAGTATCGATTCGGTCACCTAAGCTGTGCAGTTCATTGCTCTACACTACAGTATAGTGCACTACATAGCAATCAGGATGTACTGTAATATTGTTACGTAGAAATGTTGTAATGAAATGTAGCGTTTCCACTGTTAGCGCTGTTGGGAATGAATGATTGCATGATAAAACAGTAGTTCGGTATGAACGAGTGATACTAGAGTGGTATGAACGATTGATAACAGAATGTTACGAAGGAGGGATCTAGTTCGGTATTAACGAGTGACATCAGAATGATATTAACTAGTGATAACAGAATGTTATGGAGGAGTGATTATGGTTCGGTATGAACGAGCGGTAACAGAATGGTATGAACGCGTGATAACAGAATGTTATGAAGGAATGATTATAGTTCGGTATGAGCGAGTGACAACAGAACGGAATGAGCGAGAGATACTCTTATCCTAATCTGAATTGTAACAGATTCAAGAGATCGTAAAATTTTACAACTAACTGTAATTCAAACCCGTAACTCACTACTCCAATGCTAATCATGTTTACTAATCTTCATATTTTATTCTTTGAGTGTAGTCATAATGTGAAATTAAAAATGTATTTTCTAAGTGCATTGCATGCATGTTCGCAAATGCTATTCATGTTCTACAACTTATGGACGTAGATAAAAGTACCTGTCTATAAAACTTTGATATGAAATACAAAAATATGCTCATCTTTTCTTTTTTGAAACTTACCTTTTCAAAATTTATTAAAATTATTAATCAATGCTAGATTTGAATAAAATATTAACTCGTGACTTTCGTGTGCCATGAAAACGATACTACTGAATCATTTGTTATCAATGTCAGAGTATCACCCATTGGGCCAATAGGGGAATGAATATTAATGTGGGTTACGCAACATATTATCGTATCACCAATTTGAATGAAAATAAATTAATGAAACAGTAAAATTGTGTATAAGAGAATAAAGCTCCAAGCTATCGGAGTGGCAAGACGCCGGAGCTGATTCGCTGAAGAGCTTTTATAAGTATTGAGGGTAAATGGGTACTCGTAATTTTCCTTTGCCTTATAGTTGGCATCCTTTTAAAAATAACCATATATACCAATTATATTTTACTTCGCAGTCAACACATCTGAAAAATTTTACGACGCATTTTATATATTAATTCACTATAAATTCGAATATAAATTAAATCAATCAAAGCTAGAAGTGTTTTTTGTCTGCCACAAATCTTATAATCGATACGCTATTTAACACATTTCTAAATGTCCAAACGATCCGTAATTCTGCCCACTTGCGTAAAGTCGGAGACAATACTTGAATCAATTGACATAATAAATAATGTAATAAATTTAAATTTTTTTTAATAAATAAATAGAAAACTAGTATCATCTGTGAATATATAAAAATGAAATAAGCAATTCATTGTATATGTGCAATATCGGAGACACTGGCCTCTTTAAAAGTGTTTTCTTCAAAAAGTGAATTTTAAACGCATATTTATATCTTTATATCATGTTTTATCTGCATAATCTATTACGTTACAGCATTGCCATCCATGTTTTAGACATTGTATACTGTTGACTTGTTAAGTGTTAACTGTTACCCAGATTCCGGTTCGGGCTGCGGACGAAGACTGACGTTGGTTAGTTCAGAGCTGCCTAGCCAGAATTTCCAATTTTAAAAATCGAGATTCTTGTTGCTTCGTATTCCGTAAGAGAATCATAAATTCTACTTCGACGATGTCATGCCATAAGCGGCTTTGTCTTCAAGCGAACGCACCTGCTCTTCTTCTTTGCCTGCTCTAAGAGTCTAAGTCAGTCTAGGTTTACTACATTGAGTAGGCTTAAGTGCTCCTATTGAACTTTGAACCACCTTTGGAGTTTGGCTTTGGCAATAATTTATGAATAAAGGAGGCACTGAAAGATCTAATTTGCATTATTTTTTACATCTTACAACCCCATGTGTCATGTGAGGCACTGGATTTGGCATGGATACATAGTTAGGTACATACTAGGTATAACCAACTGAGCTGGAAATAACATAAACATAACATAGTGATGTCGGCGCTGAAGTGTAGCCTGTGTAGGCCTGATGTGGCCTGTCGCCGATTCTTTTCCTTTTCTTGCCTTGTTCATAGTCTCATAGATCTAAACTTTGTCATTTGACCGGATCTTTTCATGACTGGCAATAGTTTGAAGTAGCTACTAGACTTCCACCGGGTTCGATAAGGAGCTAGGCATTTACAATCTGGGATGGAAGCCGTCTGGTCCACATGACTTGTTGGGATTTTGAGCTACCAGGCGCTTGAGAACCTCTTCTTTGTGTATTTCAAAACATGTTAACTTTGAGCCAACTGGGCGCTCCTCAATATCTGGAATACTATTCAAGTCCTCATCTGTGAACACACTGCTGAAGAACTTATCAAGAACGTTAGCCTTGCCCTCATCAGAGGAAATCTTTCGTTGGTCTACTTTCAAATCAGATATACCGTTCTTTGACTTACACTTCGAACTAGCGTACGAATAGAAGGCTTTCGGATTCTTTTTGGCATTTTTAGCAATATTTTTTTCAAAGTTTTTCACTGCAATGCGACAAACTTTTTTAGCTTGATTTTGAGCTCTGGCATACAGGTTATAATCAGACTCGCTGCGAGTTTGTAAATAACGCTTGTAGGCTTCTTTCTTGGTCTTAAACTGTGTCTTAACTGCACTGGTCATCCACTGGGATTTTTTGACTCCTCCAAGCATAATCTTGGGTAAATAGGCATCAACTGCAGACATAACCGTGTCTTTGAGAAACGACCATGAATCAGCCACATTCATGTTCTTAATACAGTCCGAAATATTCGCCGCATTCACTGTTTCACGGAGTTATCATAGTCGCCTTTTGCAAAGTTCAAACGTTTACGCTTCCGAAGCGTCTTTTCTGCATAACACTTAATATTGAAAAACAATGATTGGTGGTGGCTTTTGCCCAACGGAGCCTCGTGGCAAAGCTCATCTATCATTGATTCTTCACTAGTAAACACAAGATCTAGAACATTTGGGGTCTGTTTATCCCTAAAATGGGTTGGCTTGGTGATGTTCTGGATTAAAAATGAGTCTCGTACAGACTCCAAGAACAGGGATGCTGGGTGATTCTCATCTCTTGGAGAAGATTCATCTGCCCAGTCTATTTCTGGATGGTTAAAGTCACCAACGATCAACGTATGCGACCTGCTGAATGACATTGTTACCGGTGTCCCAACGCGGGTGAGACGAACTCGTCGCCTACTTTGACTAACTTGTTGGTAACCAAGAATTAGTGAAACTAATATGATGACTAGATGTTGAAAAGGAAAATGAAATGCAAATACTGGTTCTAATAACTATTGGGATCTCATACAGTGAAAGTGACAGGAAAATGACAGAATAAGGAAAATGTGTAAGACTGATTAACTGAAGCTGAACTAAAGATGACGCCAAATAAAAATGCACACAGACCAATGAGTAAGATGCGCACCAATAATGGCTTCCAATACAAGCCAGTTAGGAGGTTTATAGGGTGCTTTAGAGCAAATCACTCAAGAGGTTAGGGACTAGGGAGATCTTTCCAGCAAATCACTTGAGAGGTTAGGGACTAGGGAGCGTGGGACAGCAATTTATACAGCACCACACTTTAGAATAGTTTTTGGCATAAATTTATGTAATCAATTACTGATCTGAACCTGACCTGAAAAGAATGAGAATTATTTTAGTCGAATTTATAAAATAGTTAAACACTTCAATATAAACACACAGTAACACACATAAGAGGGAAAAAGGGGACAACATATAAGAGGAACAAGAGGGTGTGCTGCAAAGTAGCCTAAACCACTCCTGCCAACATGCCCCCCCACCAGCACATCCCTTATGCCAATGATGCTTACTAAGGACATTTTATTAAGCGAATTACAAAATTTTACAGTTAAAACAACTATCTGAACATCAAAAATTACTTTGTCACCCTGCTGAGATCCCATACTCTAACAAGGATAATTTATTGCACTTTCTTAACATCTACAATTAAAATCCAATTCTGCTCAGCAGACAGGATATTTTCCTACCGCATACATTTTAGAAACGCATTAATTACAAACATTAATAATTTACACCAGTAATTAAAATTACAACAACACTTGAAAACATTTTTACAATCCTCACACCATGTAAAAATAGTAACAAAGCTAGAACATATATAATGTCTACCACCAAGTAATTTACAAAGGTTGAAACTGCCATGACATCACTGTCGCAATGCACACACTTGAATATTTTTTCTTTGGCAATACTGCAAAATCCAAATGCAGGAAATGATGAATAAAATATTGTTTAAATCAAATGCCACAATTCACAACAATTTGCTCATGAACTACACCTTCGCCTATTACGCTTTCGTTCAAGAGTGACAAGCTGAACATTGGGAAGATCCTGGACTGAACCCTTAGATCTTGTGTGTCTTACAGTTGCTTGACTTGTAATATCTGGCTCACCAGACTGCTTAGTCATCTTTTTCAAACGAGACACTCTGGCAGAAGGTAATGGGTCTTGTGTGAATCCAGTGAAAGGCGAGTTTGACTCTTCATCATCAGAGTCATCCAACTCCTCAGACTCAAGGCCAGCAGCTGGTGTTTCACACGATACATTCTGTTCAGCTCCCTGAATTTCTTGGATCTTCCTGTCAGCCACTGCAAGTTCTGGATCAATGTCTTCATGTGACTGATCCCCCACAAGCAAGGAATTCAGTGATGCAAGGCTAAATTCACTATCATCATCATCCCAATCCATTGTGAGCTTATACAACTGTTGCAATCTTGTTATGCCCTCTGTGGTCTCATCATTAGCTTCATCAACTACCTGTACTCCACCAATACAATTGTGAGCGTCTGTAGCAGGTTCAACCACTTGTTCCTGCTCAATATAGCCACGAGCATCTTCAGCTGCAATAACCACCTGTTCTGGTGCAGTACACACATGAGCATCATGAATTTCAACACTGCAAAACGATTCAGCCTCAACTGCTGCTTCAAAATGACAACCTCTACAGAGCCCATGTACTTCAGATCTCAATGAAGATGACTGCAATGACTGATCCAATAACCTCGAGTTAGCAGCATCAGCCGACCACATTTTTGGCTGAGAGCTGGCCAAAGAATTACCAAAACCAGAAAAGAGTGAGCTTGAATCATCATCTGAACCAAAAAAGTTAATGCTGTCAGGATCTGAACTTGTGTCACTTAGGCCAATAGAACTTTCAGAATCCATAGAAGAGTGACTAACACTAGTCAATGGCACGGTACTCTCAACCTCTCCAATATCATGCATTCTTGACCCACTCATGACATCGTCACCTCTCTCATCTCTCACTGTCAAAACAAATGAAGGATGCTCTGCTAAATACTTAGGTGGCAATTTATATGCACGCAATTGACTGTGGTGAGCTCTAACATGCTCAACACCATTCTGGTCCACCAACTCATAGGTGACTCCATTTTCATTGGCAACATTGACTTTGAAAGGCCCCCTGAAAGTTGGACTTAATTTATTAGTGCTAAGAAAACCCTTATGTTGACACTTCATGAGCACCAACTGTCCCACACTAAATTTAACAAATTTGGGATGGCCATGTCGCCAGTGTTCAGCCAGAGTCCCTTGGAGAGGTGGGTCACAATTAGTATTATGGGAACGTGTGAGCAAAAAGTTAGAGGGAGACATCTGTAATGCTGAATGCCAAGTATGATTATACACGATTAGTGCTTTTGGCAACGCTACATCCCATGGTACCTCATCACTGACCAGGCTACGCAGAAAGTTTTTGATAGTTCGATTTACACGCTCTATAGCTCCATTGCTGGTCGGGCAATAAGGAGTGGTAAGCTTATGATTAACATTAGATCTGTCTCTTATACACATCTAGATGTGTATAAGAGACAGATCTAAACCTGACCTGAAAAGAATGAGAATTATTTTAGTTGAATTTATAAAATAGTTAAACACTTCAATATAAACACACAGTAACACACATAAGAGGGAAAAAAAGGGACAACATATAAGAGGAACAAGAGGGTGTGCTGCAAAGTAGCCTAAACCACCCCTGCCAACATGCCCCCCCACCAGCACGTCCCTTGTGCCGATGATGCTTACTAAGGACATTTTATTAAGCGCATTTCAAAATTTTACAGTTAAAACAACTATCTGAACATCAAAAATTACTTTGTCACCCTGCTGAGATCCCATACTCTAACAAGGATAATTTATTGCATTTTCTTAACATCTACAATTAAAATCCAATTCTGCTCAGCAGACAGGATATTTTCCTACCGCATACATTTTAGAAACGCATTAATTACAAACATTAATAATTTACACCAGTAATTAAAATTACAACAACACTTGAAAACATTTTTTTACAATCCTCACACCATGTCAAAATAGTAACAAAGCTAGAACATATATAATGTCTACCACCAAGTAATTTACAAAGATTGAAACTGCCATGACATCACTGTCACACATCCAAATGCAGGAAATGATGAATAAAATATTGTTTAAATCAAATGCCACAATTCACAACAATTTGCTTATGAACTACACCTTCACCTATTACGCTTTCGTTCAAGAGTGACAAGCGTTCGTTCAAGTGACATTGGGAAGATCCTGGACTGAACCCTTAGATCTTGTGTGTCTTACAGCTGCTTGACTTGTAATATCTGGCTCACAAGACTGCTTAGTCATCTTTTTCAAACGAGACACTCTGGCAGAAGGTAATGGGTCTTGTGTGAATCCAGTGAAAGGCGAGTTTGACTCTTCATCATCAGAGTCATCCAACTCCTCAGACTCAAGGCCAGCAGCTGGTGTTTCACACGAGACATTCTGTTCAGCTCCCTGAATTTCTTGGATCTTCCTGTCAGCCACTGCAAGTTCTGGACCAATGTCTTCATGTGACTGATCCCCCACAAGCAAGGAATTCAGTGATGCAAGGCTAAATTCACTATCATCATCATCCCAATCCATTGAGAGCTTATACAACTGTTGCAATCTTGTTATGCCCTCTGTGGTCTCATCATTAACTTCATTAACTACCTGTACTCCACCAATACAATTGTGAGCGTCTGTAGCAGGTTCAACCACTTGTTCCTGCTCAATATAGCCACGAGCATCTTCAGCTGCAATAACCACCTGTTCTGGTGCAATACACACATGAGCATCATGAATTTCAACACTGCAAAACGATTCAGCCTCAACTGCTGCTTCAAAATGACAACCTCTACAGAGCCCATGTACTTCAGATCTCAATGAAGATGACTGCAATGACTGATCCAATAACCTCGAGTTAGCAGCATCAGCCGACCACATTTTTGGCTGAGAGATGGCCAAAGAATTACCAAAACCAGAAAAGAGTGACCTTGAATCATCATCTGAACCAAAAAAGTTAATGCTGTCAGGATCTGAACTTGTGTCACTTAGGCCAATAGAACTTTCAGAATCCATAGAAGAGTTACTACTAACACTAGTCAATGGCACGGTACTCTCAACCTCTCCAATATCATGCATTCTTGACCCACTCATGACATTGTCACCTCTCTCATCTCTCACTGTCAAAACAAATGAAGGATGCTCTGCTAAATACTTAGGTGGCAATTTATATGCACGCAATTGACTGTGGTGAGCTCTAACATGCTCAACACCATTCTGGTCAACCAACTCATAGGTGACTCCATTTTCATTGGCAACATTGACTTTGAAAGGCCCCCTGAAAGTTGGACTTAATTTATCAGTGCTAAGAAAACCCTTATGTTGACACTTCATGAGCACCAACTGTCCCACACTAAATTTAACAAATTTGGGATGGCCATGTCGCCATTGTTCAGCCAGAGTCCCTTGGAGAGGTGGGTCACAATTAGTATTATGGGAACGTGTGAGCAAAAAGTTAGAGGGAGACATCTGTAATGCTGAATGCCAAGTGTGATTATACACGATTAGTGCTTTTGGCAACGCTACATCCCATGGCACCTCATCACTGACCAGGCTACGCAGAAAGTTTTTGATAGTTCGATTTACACACTCTATAGCTCCATTGCTGGTCGGGCAAAAGGGAGTGGTAAGCTTATGATTAACATTAGATTGCATCAAAAATTCAGAAAATTTGGTACATGTAAATTCAGGTCCATTATCAGTGAGAATATTAGTTGGGATCCGAATAAGTGAGGGAAAAATCTGATCATGGAATGCCTTCACAATGGTCTCACTAGTTTTATTCTTTATTGGAACTGCTGTAACCCACTTAGAATAGTGATCCACTAAAACCAGACAACCAATAAATCCTCTAGGAGACCTGGGCAATGAAATTAGATCAGCAGCCATCAATTCGAATGGATAACTGGTACATATCTTCAAAGTTGGTGGTATCAAAGTGGTAGAAAATTCCTTCAAAATCTGACAACTGTGACATGTGCTACACACATCCTGTGCAACACGGTACCTTGAAGGGTGCCATACAAGTTCAAAAATAAGATCCAACAATTTGTCTCGACCTATGTGAGCAAGATTGAAGTGAAGCGACACACAAACATCAACTAAACTCTCAAAAGGAATGACCACAGTTGGACTAGTATCACCATAAAATATCAAGCCACTTTGAATTGACAATTTTGCTGAATGGCGAGCAAAGGCTTTGATCCTTTTCGGCCACCCTTGAGTTGGCACTTGCTTTTTGAGCTGTTTGTATAGACATTTCAATTCAGGACTATGAGATTGCAATACTCTAATAGTTTCAAGATCTGACAACATAGACAAACCTGTCACTGTAGGAAAATTACCTTGCGTCTCAAAACGCAAATCCTGAGTATTTAGCTTCAAATGCGGCTCAGAAGATCCAGCGCTAACCGAGAACAGGCAAGGACCCACAATGTCCCGCCAGCTTACAGGAGTCAACCGGGAAACGACCTCACCATCCTGCTTAAAAGTAAGGGCATTAAAATCAATGGATAAATTATAATGAGACATGAAGTCTAGCCCTAATAAAAAACAGTGAGGAAAAATGTTATCATCTACAACAGCAAATTTGTGAATTTCAGGCATATTCAAAGTACCAATAACCAAAGACAATTGCACAGTTTGCGTGATGGGGATGCGTTTCCCTGAAAAACCAACTATATCACAGAGTTTATCCTCCTGGACACAAAAGTTAATACCAGCACCATGAGCCACACTTAGAACTGAAGATGAAACTAGGCTAACCTCAGCCCCACTATCCAAAACTGCACACAGGTCAAAAGATCCCATGCTGACCCACACCTGAGGCAAAGAGCCAACTGAGTGACTGCAGATCCTGATATCCTGATCAATAGTTAGCAAGGACTTCAACAACTCTTGCTCCTGCTCATCTTCTGACTCACTTTCTAAGTGATTCTTGACACTGGCTACTCTATCCTCTGGAATGGTATTAATCACACAATGGTCACTTCAGGTTTGACATATGAACTAATTTCAATAAGGGGATTGAAATGAATCCCACTGATGCATTGCAAATGTACAATTGATGCATATTCTTCAAATTGATAGATTATTGGTTGATCACTCCAAAAATACACATAAATAACAACTTTGAAAAGCCTACTAACAGCTAAGAGTAGGTCCAAAGAAGGTAATTGACCAACATGTCGCATCAGACGCAGTTGTTTCCGTGAATTTCGGTCAAGATTTAATTTATATCTCGCACAATTATCCAACAATTCATCAACAACCAGTTCTCTAAGTTCAACATCTGACAATGGCAGTCTGCGGCTAATTTTAACTCGTGACAGTGCTCGCAGCAAACTTACAAAAAGTGAATCACCCCCTCCTGCAACTGGTGGACCATCTGGGATGAGCCCTTGGGGTAATGAAATTACAGTTCCCTCTGCATGGGGAGGTGGGGACCCAACACGTGATAGCGCATCTGCGGCAGAGTTAAGATGTCCAGGCACATAGACAATATCAAAGACAAAATCAGACAATTCTTCCACTGTACAGGCCAACCGTGTGCAAACAATTTTCATATTGTGTAAATGAACAAGTGGCTGATGGTCAGTATAGACAATGAATGAGACACCATACAAAAATGGTCTAAATGTTTTTACTCCCCATCTCAAGGCTGTTGGTTCACGCTCTAAAGTGGAATAATTCAACTGGGTTGGACTAAATGTCATCGATGCAAAACCAATCACACGATGAGACTCCCCTTGTACCTGTGCCATTCAGGAATTTTTCAAAGCTAGTAAATGTCGTATTTTTCGACTTCCTTTATACTACATAGATAGGAAAAATGTTGTTGTTTAGGCCACTATATTTAGTTTAGCAATATTCCAATTAGTTTCGCTACTATGACTGTTTTACGACGTGTCAGAGGTGCGTCTCGAGTTGCCCCGCCAGTCCCGAGTTGCCCCGGTTGACGATAGCATAATTACGCTCTGTAATTATGCCATATTGACGACCTAATTTGTATAGTCCATTTACATGCATTGTTATTAGGTATTGATCGTGTCAATTTTGCTGGCAGGGAGGATGTTGGGAGGATGTCGGTAATGTCGTCCCAACATTGGCATGCAGGATCTTACTGTTGACATACAGGTTCATACCCTACTTGCCGCAACCAGTCCAGTCGACAGTCGTTCATTAGAAGGCACCGATGGCACATCTAAAGCCATGTTGCCTTCTTTAGTTCTGTAATTCATGCCCGATTGAATTGTGATCTATGAATGAATATTCATTACTGTGCTGACTCTTAGAACCTGAGTCCTGAGTTGATGCGGTAGCAATCTAGTTAACTCGTATCCAACCACAATACAGTGCGGATATACGTTTGTGTGTACAGTCAGTGTGATTACGTAATTTGCATTGCCGCGCGTCCATTTTTAAACTATTTTAGCTTTCTAAAAGTGCGGCGCTGTCGGAGCACGGCGCACCCCGCAGGTCGTTAAAATGACAATATAAATTCCCGAGCACCTGGCACATCTTCCTGACCATGGCTTACAGTAGAGACAAATTTTATTGTTGCCGTTTGACTGTTTAAGGGTAAAATTAGAGATTTGGGGTAACACGTGCATAAACTTTGTAAATAAATTCGCATTCGCACCTCGTAAATGGCTTTTCATGGCCGAGATATGGAATTCACGGCTCGGTGAAATAGAATCACGGCTCGTAGAAATGGAATAACGGCTGGCAAATTCATAAAACCACGGCTCGAAAAATTCAGTCACGGCTTGCCAAGTAGATATATTCCATACTAGCCCACAATGTTGGAATATACTGCGTTTACCCTAAATGTATGATTAATCAACTTGCTTTATGGTTTATGCTGCAGCTGCATAGATAGTAAAAATGTTGAACTTTACACCACTGTTTTCAGTTTTGCAATATTTTAATTAGTTTAGCTGCTACAACATTTCTACAAAATGTTGGAGGACTGTCCCTTATTCGGGCCCCAATTTACAAGAATCATCGAGGTTAGAACTTAGAAGCAAGGATAGAGGAACTTGTTACAGTGCACTGTCTAGTCTGCACAGATTCTCCGTCTGCACTTTCTCCTTCTCCACAGTCCTCTCACCGAGCGTCGTCATGGTAACATCTTGAGTCCGTGGATTATCAAATCCGTGTCCGTTAAAAAGTATAATAAATGTCCCATAAGAGAAGCCAATCTTAAATGCTTCATATGATTAGTATGGTTAGCAAATCATGACAATCGTCATTTTAATTAGGAAAAATTCATACTTTATGGTTAATTAAGCGCTAAAATTTATAACATGCAAAACATTTATCACGGAGACTACGGACATGGGTCAACCTAATATTGTTCAACCATGTGTGAAGGGACCAGCGAGTGTGGTGGAGAAATCAGGAAGTGAGGTGGAGGAACCTGGGAATGAGGTGCCGGGACCAGAGAGATTGATGGTGGGACTTGGAAGTGAGGAGGAGGGACATGGGAGTGATTTGAAGGGACCAGGAAGAGTGGTCGAGGGACCTGGGAGTGAAATGGAGGGAACTTGGAGAGTGGTGGAGAGGCCTCGGAGTGAGGTGGAGTGCCCTGGGAGAGTAGTGAAGGGATCTGGGAGTGAGGTGGATAGCCCTGCGTTTGGGAGCGATGGTGGATATATACGTAAGCGTTCTTTCAGCGAACTATCTCACCAAGCATTAGCGATTTCCCTTTTTGAAACTTCCAGTTGCTTGCGTTGAAGTTTAACAAAATTATTTACATACTCCTTAAAGCACGTCTAAGGAGGACATCAGGGTTGGCGTATGGAGTATCAAGAGTAGCCTCCCTGTGGAGCTTAAATACCTCTCATAGGATGGAACAAGTATAAACTGGCGTGATGAGAAGGATTCGAACATCACACGAGTTTATTTAATTATTTTACAATCCTTTAGTTATTGGAAACAATGAAATATTATTAAGTGGGCTACTGATTTTTACAAAATAAAATTGCTCTTTTAAAAAGGAGCATCAAAATAGACAGCTGAAAATTAATTTCTCCCACCTATTAGTCCACGTGTCCAAAATGTTTCAGAAATTTCCGATGCGCCAGAATTACGTTGTTTCTGCGAAGTCTGCATGGATTCTAACGAAATCTTTGGTAGATTCAAGCATTAAGTGGATTGCTGCGTATAAGGTTCTTGTATAAATGGTAATGCACTGCGGTCTAAAATAAACTTGTTTGCTGTGTAAACCTGATCGCCAAACAAACTTGCATGTTTGTTCGCAATCGCAGTACTGCATATAGAAGAGGTTTTTGCTGGATAATTTGAACGCAAAGGGTTCAGAGCTTCAGCCCCAAGCTTTGCTAGAAAATTGAATTGCTGCGATATATAATTCGAATATCCAATAAAACATTGCAACGAGAGAATTTGAAAGGAAGGAGAATTTTTCAGCCTGAAACTATAGCTGTTAAAACTAAAATGGAAGGGAAATCGACCATATTATTTTCTGAGAAAAATACCGCCGTACTCGATATTTTCATCAGTAATTACGTAAATACCAGAATTAAACTTAAAAATATATTTTATTAAATTGAAATTGAAATTTAATAAGCATCATGAATATCACTATCATTAAATTGCATGAATAACAACTTTAATGTGAAAAATTCTGAAGATTGGCAGTCGAGGCGCCAAGTAATTCATTTGTAGGCAATGCAATAAAATTAAATGCTATACGAAAATCAAAAGACAATGAAATCACGGCGGGTATGTACGTGGAATGAGTTAGATTTGACAAATTATAATTCTGAAGTTAAAAGCCGCGTCAATAAACGTATATAGTCGTATAAATAATCGATCGGACATAATCGTAAATACGTACATAGAATCGTTCGTATATAACTGTGTATACTTACATATAGTCGAATGTACGTAGATATAATCGCTCGTGGATATAATCGTTCGTATATAATCGCATTTACGTATATGTAATCGCTCGTATATAATCGTATGTACGCATATATAATCACTCGTATATAATCCTGAGTCAGTTCCAACGAACGGCTGTTAAATTGTTTGTTAAAGCTCATCATGTTTAATTGAATTCAGAAATAAAAATACATTCACTAGAGTAAAAGTAACGCCACGGGTGAGGCAAGTTAATGAACAAAAATATTTTTAAGCTAAAAGTTATCACAATTAAGCAACAGGATTGCTCGAAATCATATTAATTTTACCATAAGTATGCGTATTTTAAACTTTTCAGTCTTCGCAACTGCAGACAATTTGTTTATGTTTGTCATAACTTGCTTCTTAGCGGGAAATATTGACAAGCTATAATTTAAAAAAGTGATGTGTAATTTCATATATAATGTCCATTACTGAAATAATTTTTTGAAATTATATATTTTAGAGAGCTCACGTGACATTCGGAAAATCTCCAACAAATTAAATTATTAATTCTGGTTTAGTTCACTTGAAAGATTTTCATAAAACTTCAATGACTCTCAGAACGAAAAAAAAGTCTGATAACCTGTAATGTTCGGGAATTTTATCAAACAATTTCAGCTTCTCCGGCCATTCCAACGCAGATCGATAATATATTACAATTTAAATATATACTGCTTTTTTCTTATTGTTATTGAATACTAGCGTTGCATGGATACATAGAAAATAGAAAATACGTCATAACAAATTTTCCAGAAAAAATACGCTGCAATCGCAACAATTTTCTAACTTTAGTGTAATCAACTTTAGGTTACATATAGGCCGATATTTAGATTTTTTGGCAAATAATACGTAGATTCAAATGTGAACTAAATAAAAAATCAAAACGAAATGAAGATCCTGAGCAAAGGCTGGATAAATTATTTTAATTCGAGGTGATTCATGGAAACTTCCTTATTTGGAAGCTCGATGAAAAAACTTGTAAAGATATTAATACAACATAAATTTAATAAAAAAGACATTACCTTAATTTTTGCATCATTTAGTTTTAGAGA